AGGCTTGTGTGGTGAGCTCTGATGCTGAACTGATTTCAGTGAAACTTCCAGACCAAGACAGACGACAAAGAAGGGTCTGGGGAGCTACTTTGGAAAACCCTCGGTACTGCGGGCCTCTCCACTCCCAAGCCGATCCTTGGCGTAGCTCAGGACTGGATGTGTTTTTCCATCTGCATGGGGCCACCTTGAATTGGGGCTGACTGAGGCCAACCACCACCGACATAATGACAGTTCCTCCTTCTTGCCTATCAGTTACCTTGAAATCCCGGGCATCACACTTCCACGGTGATGTGCTTCTTTCTTGAGACCCCGAGGGTCTTGATTCGCTGCAGGTCACGGTTATGAAAAAAAACCCAGACACAACCACATACCTTTTTGAGTCGATACGTTTATTACTATTATTTTTTCCACACTGAGAAGACTCGGTTACACAGCGTGATATTCTATGAGCTGATTACCAGTAGTCGAAGCACAAAGGTTGTGGTGAGTGTAACGTGGACACAGTGAAGAAGCACCCTTTTCCAGAGGGAACCACATCGTCCGGACAGCCTAGGTACAAGTAAATACCGCGCCCAGTCTACGTACAGACATCTTCCCGGAGAACGAGCGAACGCAGCACCTTCACACAGCTCATCCCCCAGTGAAGATTGCGTGTAATAAACAACACACACAAAATGAACCCCCCCAAAAAAGAATACATAAAATCGTGTGGTAGTGTATCAACTGGATTCTTGCAGGGGGTCAAGAGAGGCTAAATAACCTTCTTTGAAATGGAGGCAAACTGACACCATGGATGGATGGATATTGATAAGAGCTGTACGAGCCCCCCATAAAATGATGAAAAATAATAATCATAAAAATGGAGGCAATCAAAGAAGATGATGTCCAATCCTATGAAGATCCTTTATCAAAATAGCAGCCTGCGGTTTCAAATGCAACTGGTCCCAAGGTCCCATGTGCACGCGTGAGGGCATGGCATGTCTCTGGGTGGGCATCAGTGTTTGAACACGTTCTCTGCTCGAACAATGAGCAGACAGCTAAGGTTGCCGGCAGCAACGGCTCTCTGAGTCTCGAGATTGCTCTCGTGGGAAAGCTGCGGGTTCTGTAGCTTTTTCACATGTGGGGAGAAAGAACCTCAGAGGGTTCACAGCCATGGTGCAAATAGACTTGGGTTCAGGGTTCCACCAGCAGAGGCATCTTCCAGATGGGGTCCCCGCCCTTTGGAGAGACTCTCAGACCACAAAACAGCCTCTAAAAGGGAAGACCACCTGTTCAAGGCCAAGCAACCTTCCTGTAAGGTAAATGACCATCTCAGCACACAATTTGCCAGGGTTATTCAATTTAACATGCGTTACTGTGTGGTTCAGATAACCCGTTCGGGTGGATACTTCAAGGCAACTGAGTGTGTGCCGTTTAGTCATGATTTTAGATTTCATTCAAGCTGAATTAAAAGTTGGGATGAGGAGGAACGGGCATTTTCAGTCGTGTGCATGCCTGTGTGTGTATGCGTGTGAGCAGTCTAATATGTGAGCAGTCACAGACTGTCTTTGTGGTCGAAAGGGGAGGAGTCACCAATGCGTGTCAGAAGCAGCCTGCTGCTGACTCACCGTCTCTGGTGAGTTAACAGGTTCTGTTAGGCATCAGAGGTTACACTGGTAAGCAGTTTGTCTCTATTTGCCATTTTTATAAAGAATCTCCATAGACTCATCATGGACTCATCTAAAAACTCAAACACATCCTAAATTTCTCAGGTGTACACAATCAATCCATTTCTCTCTCTGCATGGGTGATACCTGGCTTTACGACACAAATGGATTCTTCAAAAAATAACTCTTCTCATTGTGGCATCAGCCCTGCTATGTCACGAAGGAACTGTGTAATGACGGTCAAAGAAATGAAGAATGCTTTGGTGAATGAATAATTCCCCTTGAGTTTCAAACAACTGTATCACAGGACAAGTTGTCAGTCGATTGAGATTGCCCAGAACAGTAATTGTTTGCAATAAAAAACCAAAACAGATAAAATGCCAATTTACAACAAACTACACAAAACAGGAATGACCCGTGGACTGCTTATTGACAGACTATATTCAGAAACCCTGAATATAGGTATTACTGGTATTTTATGGCTTTTATCAAGACAGTTGTCTCTTATGAAGTACTATAAAGTGCAATATTAAAAAAATTAAAAAACCCAAAAGGCATATCCATCGTCCTTCAAGTTCATCCTGCTGAGAAGAACTGGAGATTCGTTTAATTAAACGATAAGGAATTATTTACTCGCATGCATGCCTGCCATTTGACCCTTACAATTGATTTATTCAGTTATTCAGACTTCATTTGCATTTTTTCTTTTTCTGAGTGTGTGTGACGTGTTTTTTCCGAGTCGGATTTATGGATTACTTTTTGTGGTGGCTGTTGGCTGAGGGCCCTAGAGAAGTGCCAGTCTCCAGGCCCCGGGGCTCCTGGATCCATCGTAAAGGGAGATGCAACTCAACATGTGAGAACACAAGAGCAAACGTCCAGCATTGGAGGAGCCACAAACAACCCACATTTTCCAGGCCAGGACATGAATCGGCAACATTCTCATTCCTATCTAACCTACCACACACGGAAGTAAACGCACTGCAATACTGGTTCATAAGCCAAGTCCAAACATTTGCCTTTTTTCCCTACTAAAAGGTAAAATATATATTCCTTTGATAAATCGAATGCAGACAAGTGCAGGACCAGTGTGTCTAAATGACTTTTAGTCATGTCTCCCCCATTCTGACCCTTCAGGAACTATGATTCTACCCTTTCTGCCCTTGGGGTTTAGCAGGAAGCAGGTATCCTAATTTTAGTGTACGCTGCCCTCTAGTGGGAGCCTGTATAATTGCATGATTCGGAAGAAATTGGCCTCTTTCCACCAACCTCAGCATCAGAAACCCTGGGACATCAGTGTCCCACTAATTGCATCAAAATTCCGAATCCTTAAAACATTTTCTTCCAGTTTCGTTCAAAATGTTTTCCATCATGGAAAAGCATATGGTTTCATAAAAAATCCGAAGCAGAACATATTTTGGTTCTGAAAGTGTTAAAAGCAAAGCTCTTGAGTTTGAACTCACCAGGGTCTCGGGTCAAGGTTGTGCCCCCTACTCAGACTTCTCACCAGAGGACAAGGGTCTGCCCAGGCTTACTGTCTTCAAGGTCTGTGAATAGTCTTTAGAAGGATTTGCCCAAGAAGTAGCCAATGACACAACACTTAAGTTATTGGGGGCAGGGATGTAGTCTTTTTGAGTTTTTTGTGTGGAGATCGAGAAGATGTTCATTGAACTTGCCATGTAACAATGAAGGGTGAGCGGCTGGGTCGTTGGTGGTTGAGAACCTTGCAGGGGACTAAGCACGAGGGTTCACCTTGAACGTGAAAACTGGGAGGAGGGTTAGAAATAAAGCCAAGTGGATAGGGTCATAGAGAAGGCAAGAGGCTATGCCAATGCCAAGGAGCCAACTGGAAACGGTGCTGGTTCCTTCCGAATGTCTTGCACGAAAATACAGGGCTCATCAGGAAAACAAGATACACGTGAACCGGCACTGTCGTAGGACTTCTTAAAAGGCAAGCACAACAGAAGGGTATGTAAAAAAATGCAGCTTCTGCATGGTTCATGCTGGCCAGACCTTGTTACGTAAGACCAGTGTTGGGAAGTCAGCCAGCTTTCTCCCGCCTAGGAGGGGATGTACAATAATACTATCAAATCTCTAGTCAGTGAGGCAGCTGTGTTTTGTAGAAAGGCCTTCAAACCACCTGAATCATGTCTGTCCTATGAAATAAATGATAATCGTCTCCATTAAGTGACACTGGTTAGAAGCCTTACAAAGCATTTCCCCTGAAATAGGAACCATTCCTTCCTTCTTGACATATGCTTGTGGGTAAGGCTTTGAGGATGTTCTGTGGCTTCTGCAGAGTGATAGACTTCTCCCCGTCCTTGAACATGTGCCGTGGTCTGTCACTGCCTGACTCAGTTAATGCTCTGGGAAGTTTCACATACGCCACCTGGCTCCCAGCTTCAGTTCATCAGGAACTGCTCAGGCTCAAAGGGCAGCTTGGGGGCGGGCTGGGGAGGGGGTTCAGCATGGGCATTTTCAGATGCAATTTAGAAGGTTCTAGTTGGGCATTCTTGGCTTAAGTCAAGTTGCTCTCCTGTCCTGAGGCTGCCTAGGGTCAAAGGGGAGGAGAAGCAAGCAAAGCCACTTGGTTTGCTGGGGGAAAGTAGAACCATGTGGGTGCAACAGTCAAGAGGTGGCTCTTGAGTGTTTGCTATTATTGTACACACTGTTCCCAGGACGTGAAGATAGGATCGATGGTCTCGGTTTTCTCCTGTCCTCTTCTGATGTGTATTCTTCGTGTCAACATTAGCCTGAGGGATATTCGACTAACTCACTGTCGCAGAGTCAAGGCTGACTCAGTGTGAGCCCTGTGGATTTCCGAAATTGTTAACTGTTTACGGGAGTAGAAAGTCCAGTCTTTCTCCCGCTGAGCTACTGGTGGTTCTGAACTGCTGACCATTCAGATGGCAGCCTAACACCTAACCACTAGACCACCAGGGCTCCTGTAGCATGAGGGATATGATATGGCTGGTCATTTCCTTAAGGCTGTAGATCTATATTCCTTGGGCATGAAAACTCGAATATATCTGTGTATGTTTGCAAGTATGTGAACACAGGTCAAAGCAACCCCGTGGGATCAGGAAGAGATGTTGCCTTTGCTTCTAGCTGTTCATGACATTCTTGGCTTTGGAAAACTTGATGCTCCTTGCTTTTGAATCCTGTATGTGATTGGGTCAGAGAATGATGACGTAGGTGCTATTGCGTGTACATGTAGACCTCATATAGAGATATGGATATTTATATATGTATATTCACAGGCATGCAGAAAAGCAGCTGGAGATAATTTACGCTGGAGACTGAGCTCTAGAAAGTTCTTTTTTAAAATGTCAGTAACGAAGTCAATGATTTGAATGCTTTAAAAGACCCACTGGATTTTATACACTTCTCTCTGGATGCATTCTAACCAAACCCATAACCCCGTGCACACAGACACATGCATGAGGGGGAGTCAGAAGAGAAGCCTGGATCCCAGTTAGCAAGGGAGCATGGCGGTCGGTCCTAATCAGTGCACAGCATTGAGAGGGGAGCTGAGCTTGGGACCTGGTCTTCTCAAATGCAACTTTTCATCAATGGTCATTTCCTTAAGGTCATTTCCACAGCCTCTGGGAAGAAACTGCTCCAGGGCTTTTTGGATTCATCTCCACCTTGAGCAAGAAATGAATGGCAAGTGGCGGGGCTGGGGGTGGGGTGGGGGGAACAAAAGGGAGGACCAGGAAGTAGCAGAGCAAGAAGAAATGACCTCACTTGTCCTACCTAGTCTAGCTGCAATTTGTCAGTTACCAATTCAAACCTATTTTTTTGTTTCAAATAGCAAACCAATCATTAATATTGGAGGGGAGGGGAAAATCTCCTTTTTCTCATGAACTTTCTGAAGCCCCCTCCCCCATCCTATGATAACCAGCTGTGCTCCCCTTCAAGTAACACGCAGGAAAAAGTGAGCTTTCCAGTCACGTTCCCTCACGCCTTCTCTTTCCTTAAGGATGAGCACACCTCCCCACCTCGTTTTGGGATGAGATGAAGAACGAGATGCAGGATTCTAGCACACATTGGCAAACCGGACTTGGCAGAGTTGGAGCGACTTGCAGGTCAGCTGGCTTCTTGATTTCTTGTTTCCTCCAGGGGGCCTCTACTTAGAAGTGCTTTGCTTTTGTGTAAAGGGCTGTGCCGGGCACTGCCTGTTCATCTGGGCAGAAGCTGAAGCCATGTGGAAGGAACAGCCAGCATGACCTGCGGTGGTCAGGCCCCCCTTGCACCCGGACTCCCTGGACCCCCTGTGGTGGGAGTCTTAGGCGACCTCAGAACAGACGGGAGACAGGCTCACATATGGTGTTAGTTCCAGGGTAATGGGCCATTGCTTTTATTCATGAGCAATGTCTTTAGCGGAGCACATGGTTTTCAATTTTAATAAGCTCTTAATCTCAGTGCTTTCTTCTCTAGACCAAGCTTCTGGCGTTGTCTTTCAAGGGATTGAAATGTAAGCATGACTTGTGACAACCAAAAGTCTTCCATCTTCTTAAAACAAACTGAATTTGCTTCTCCCTTCAGCCCCTACCCACCCCTTCTGCTGGCTTATTCTCTGCTGGCACAGAGCTGCAAAATCAGAGAAGGGAGCACGCAGGGTTACTGAACGGCCGAAACACAGCCTCTTAGGTCACGCTGAGCAAAATCAGGAAGCGAGATGGGCTGGAACCTAGTTAAAGCAGCTGTCGAGCCTAATCATTATAGGCTAAAAAGAGTCCTAGATGCGCTCCAGATAGAACGAGAGATGCTGCCTTAGCCAAGGGCTGGACTGGGCAGGACCTCACCCAGGACTCAGAACCCTTCCTGGGATGCGCTGTGTGCACACTGCCTTTCCAAACAAACAGTCCCCATCATAGTTCACTGAGCTCGACCAGAGAACGGACGATCTCTTCTGCCACTGGAGCCCTTTATGACCGTGCTGCATGACCATGGTTTGAAGGACCAAGCTCTTGCATTCCACTGGGCGGCAAGTCCTATTGCGCCCCAACTACTGGATGAGATTCCTTATCAAACAACTGGGCTGCTTGGTGGCCATATGAACTATATGTGAGCCCTGAGCATCAAAGTACATCGAGATGAGAATCACAGCAAAATCTGCCCCCTTCTGTTGATGATAGTGGGACATGCATCAGAACAGCACAGGATCAGTTGATATAGTGTTCCTGTCCGAGGATAGCACTAATTTGGCTCGCAGTCATATTTTCTACTTGCATGCTGGGGCAAGATAAGGGGAAAACCCAAACAAAACCACTACCACCCTGGTCACCCTCCGTCAGCCCTCAAAGTGGTCTGGGCTTTAACTCTGTTCTGTCCCAGGTAACTCTGTAGGTTTCGAACAGTGCCCCCTGGGGGGGTGGGGGTGGAGATCATCTGCCCTGCTTGGCTTGTGGGAAGATTTTGGAGAATTCAACTTGAAGCCTCCACATCAAGCCCTACCCTGTAACCTAGTATTTTCCCCAAACCTCAGCTTTATCATGCAATAGCCAGGTAAGTCCAAGGGAGCTGAAGGGCACAGCAATGCTGCCTCCATCTCTTCATTGCACTAGATCACTCTCGTGCTAACAGTAAAGCCCAGACTGAAGGTTGATGCCCCTCTTCAAATAGGTACTATAAATATACTAGAGCTATCCCTGAAAAGATGCAGTTGTACTTATATATTTATATAAAATTATATATTTATGTATATAATTTTTTCTTCCTTTGTGTCTGTCTACAGGTATATATTAATCTATAGGTGTGCAAGGGGAGGCATAGGACAGGAACAGGCAGGGGTGGGTTCTGTGTGTACGTATTTATAATATGTATATTACGTATAGCGCCTCTGCCGTGGCCTGCCTTACAGTGAGTGTACCTCCGGCCAGCGAGGAGTACCTGTCAGTGGTGAATGGCGGGAAGCCCCCAGTTGACGGTTCTCTGTGTCTCTTACAGGAAGCCGTTCCAGTCCGCAGGCGTGAAAGTAGCCTGGAGACTGCATGGGCCCAGTGTAATCCATCGCTCCTCAAATCTGCCTTTGGGGAGAGACACTTGAACCCCTCAGAGCGGTGAGCCAGCTGCCTCTTCTCAAGAGGCCCAGGAGCCTGGAGTCCAGCGCGGGAAGGGGCCATCCAGGCTCCTGCTCCCAGGTATGGCTTTTCCTGCTAGATGGAGACAGGGCACGTGAGGATTCTGTCTTCTAGAAGGACGCTGACCACCAGGAACACAAAGTAGAGGCCGAACATGATGAAGCCCAGCACTTTGTTCATCCGCCATTTGCAGAGGGCGATGGAGAGGATGACGAAGAGCAGCATGATGAAGAGGAGGACGATGGCGCAGAAGAGGCCGTTGCTGCTCACGGCCACTGGCTGGAACCTGTGGATGATGGTGTACAGAAGCCAGGGCAGGGGGAGCCTAGCGGGAGCGAAACAAGGGGAGAGAGATGAGGGCGGCGGAAGAAGGTGCTCACGGGGAGGGGGTGGGGGAGGGCTCCCTATGTTGGGTGGGACTCAGGTGTCATTCTAGCTCCTGGATCGAGGGGGCAACCCAGGCATCCTTTAGGACTGGTGTGGACGCCGTAGCTTCGAGGGTCCTTACTGGAAAATGAGGACGGTGACTGAACCGCCTCGCATCGGTGTGTTGCTTAAAAGGAGACATATGTATGTCCAGTGCACACAGCAGACACGGTAGGAAAAGGAAGAGCTATAATCATGTGTTTGTTTGGGGATGAACACGTGGGTGTAGAAATAGGGTACCATTGCAAACGTCCCGTGAGAAAGTAGACACTTTGGGAAGGCTAGCATTCAGCTCTCCTGCCTCTGCAGGCTGCCTCTTGGCGAACTGCAGATTCTGGTTGCTTATGGTGGAGATACGGGTTCTCCCCCCCCATCTAACCCACGTTCCAGATGATTCCTGGCAAGGACTTGTTTCTGTCAATGGAAGGAAAGATCTCTTCTTCTGACTCTTAAAACACCCAGGATAGCTCCACCAGCATTTCCCAGAGAAGGCGAGCGGGTATTTGTGCTGGGCCTCATCTTGGCTTAAGCTGCTTTTCCTCTCAAGACTCATCTGAGGCTGCTGGGGACTTAAATTTAAGACATCAAGCCAATAAGAGCGAAACAACCAGGGCCTCTCTGTCACATCTGAAGATGCATCCCGTGTAGCCAATACCTTTGGAGCCCAACCCCAAACTCACCGCCATCGAGTCAGGCCAGTCTGACTTGTAGCCAGCCTCTAGGGAACCCTGTGGGTGTTTCTGCCCGACTAACCAGTTACCGTTGAATCAATTCCAACTCATTGTGATCCCATGTGTAGCAGAGTAGACCTGCGCTCCATAGGGCTTAACTTTTCTAGTGGTTTGTTTTCTCTGTGAATTAGGTAGGGGGTCTACAGATCATTATTACCTGCATTCAACAACTTAGAAAATCTTCTTGTGGGGTATGGTCTCCCCTCTAGCACAGGGCTGGGGAAAGTCTGACCATATAAGACCCAAGAAATCAATGCCAACTAACATCACACACCTCACCACAGAGCGGCAGTTACAGCCATCACAGTAGAGCCGAGTCAATTCAATGTTTGACCAGGATGGGGCATGAATGATGTCAATATCTGAATGGTGCTCGATAAGAAAACAGGCTTCTCACGCCTGCTCTCACCTACCACTTCCCATCCCTTCCCACTCCAGGTAGCCATTGATGTTTTTTGTGGTATGGGAACCTTTTCAAGAGTTTTTCCCTCTCTCCCATAGGCGTTTGCTGGCTTGCTCAGAAGGAGACTTCTAGGGCTTTCTGTCAGGCACCCCTGGCAGGACTCAAACATCTAGCCTCTACGTTAGCAGCTGAGTGTGATAGCCAAGTGCACCAGTCAGAGACTGCTCTGCCTGCCTACGGATGATCTTCTTCTTCAGCAAATTCTCTGGAAAAGGAAAAGAACGTCTGGGAACCTGCATGGTACTTTCCTTTCAATGGTTGATTTGGGGCCCAGAGAGCCTGGTTCTGTCTCCACAGGCCACTTCTAGGGAGATGTGTGCAGAAGTGGAACGCCCTCACACCTTGAGAGAAGTATCTCTACTCACCCTACCGTGATGTCGAAAATATTGCTTCCCACAGAGCTGGACACGGCCATGTCCCCCAGCCCCTTCCGGGCCACGATGACGCTGGTGATCAGATCAGGGATGGAAGTGCCAGCAGCCAGGATGGTCAGGCCCATAATCTCCTCACTGATGCCAATGGTCTCTCCAACCTACAGGTGGGCACAGGAGGGAGACAGATGAGTGCTTAGGGCCACAAAGCTGGCAAAATCCACAGCATTTCCACAAGTTCCCACTTGGGGCTGGAGTTACAGCAAGGAGTGAATCACATTGACCTTCCTACAGGAATTTAGACTTGAATTAGATTCAGACTGGAGGAGTCAGGATTGACTGTAAGAATGTACATGGAAAAGTTCAAAGGAACACGAGCGTAACAGGGCAGCCTGCAGCTGCTCTCTGGCCCTTTGTGAGAGTGAACAAGTGAGGGACCTGAATGACCAGAGTTACAAAGGCCAGCTAGCCATTGACTCCCAGGTTTGTTGCCTGACGGTGACGCCAAGCGCTGTGGCAGACTCACCCTCCTTGCCATACAACACTCAAAGTCAAGGACTGACCCTCAATGTGTCTCCAATGTTCCTTATCGTTTTCTGGGGTCTTTAACCCACTCACATATGTTCAGCCTCTACCATTTCCACAGGAATTGTGATTCTCAGGGCATGGGAGTGGCAGTAACACAGGACTGTAAACCAACAAGGCACCCAGGGAAAGTCACAGCAAGGGAATCAGGGGACCCAGCTTCAAAGTCTGCCTCCAACCCTCTATGCCCACTGCCCGCCTGCCTATTTTTTTTGGCATACAGGAAATCCAGTGATTCCAGCACCATTTGGTTCAAAAGTCTATCTTTTCCCCACACCCATTTCTGGGGTATAGTTTCTACTTCAAATGTGTTGTATGTGTGCTAAGATATGAAATAATTTTGACTATTGTGAAGCTTAGAATTTATGTCTATGAAGAGTATGGGTTTTGAAGTTCTATGTTAGAATCTCAGTTTTGTTCTTTATTACCTAGCTGATCATGGACAATTTTGTTATACCTTTAACATCTTTATCTGTAAACTATAGCTAACAAGAGTACCTCCCTCACAGGATATGGGGCTCCATGTAGGGTTTGTTGGGATGACCACAAGGTTCAAGTGCCGAGTACGTGGCATAATAATCTACAGTGGTCAGGACTGTTATTGAGGACATAAAAAGCTTACATCTAATTCTTCCATTTATGTTTTTCAATAAACAAGCACTGAGATTCTATTTGGTGATGGGTATTACGACAGTGAAAGATCACTGTTGTGCAAATTGACACTCCAGGTAGAGACCATGTTGTCTTTAGGTTCTGTCCTAAGTGGCAGCTTTGAGAGGTTCATAAAAGTAGGTGGCGGCGGCTATCAAAAAGTATAGCGTCTGGGGTCTTAAAGGCTTGAAGGTAAACAAGCGGCCATCTAGCTCAGAAGCA